TAATATGGACAGTCACATATCAGATAGGTGTTCACACCATACCGGATAGCTTTTTGTGGCGCCACGAACCCACTTATGTCCAGAAATATATGTAATGGCGAAAATGGTGAATCTGGCAAAAACTCACCAGCTGGCTGGCGAAAATTTAAATGATGTTACAAGAGGCGCCCTTTAGAAAGAGAAGAAGTTGACGAGAATGGCGGATCTGGCAAAAACTCAGCAGATGGCTGGCGAAAATTTAAATGATGTTACAAAAGGCGCCTTCTAGAAAGAGAAGAAGTTGACGAGAATGGCGGATCTAGCAAAAACTCACCAGATGGCTGGCGAAAATTTGAATGATGTTACAGGAGGGGCCCTTTAGAAAGTGAGGAAGTTCACGAAAATGGCGGATCTGGCAAAAATTCGCCATGGGTTTGGCAAATTGGATGACACAGTGGCCTCTTGGAGAGTGGCGATTATGACCAAAATGGCGAATATGACAAAAATAGTGAAACCAGCCAGCAATGGCGAATCTGGCGAATCGCAAAAGGGCTGGTGAAAATTTTGATGAGATTAAAAGAGGCGCTCCTTGCAAAGAAGAAAAGTTAACAAAGATGGTGAATCTTACAAAAATGGCAAATTTGGTGAAAATAGAAAATCTGGCAAAAATTTTCCATGGGTTTGGAAAATATTCAAATTGGATACCAAAAGTGATCCTTGGAGAGTGGCGATTTTGACCAAAATGGCAAATATAGCAAAAATTCGTCAAAGCCCTAACTTAAGTCAAACAAGATGGCAAAGAAGCCCCTTAGAAAGTAGCAAACTGGTCGCCGTATAGTGTGAACATAGCCTAACAATCGATGTTGTGGTCTGATTGACACGTGTCAATGTCTTCCATTTGGAAAAATATAGCTTGTATCAATTATGCAATAGTTTTGAGCGGCACATCGTGGAGTGCTTTCATTTTACTTTGTTGAGCAAAAATACAAGAAAAAAAACTCGAGTCACCTGTTGCCTCGTACTTAGGCGCTTCCTGGGATTTTCGACGGTAGTCGCGAGGAAAGATGATGGAAAAGCTTCAAAAACGCAAAGGCACAAGGGGAAACAAAGTCAAGACGACTGCTGCAAGTGGTGGGGTACTGTCATCAGACTGACCGGCAGCTCAGGGAACGCATTATCTTACTCGTTGGAATGCGATCGTGAAGTCCTGAATGAGATGGCGTTAGCCGACATCTTATGCTTCTGTGGATGATATGATATTCCACCTTTGGATGCCACAACACTACTAGCTTTCCTGTCGACCGACTTCTGTTCCGACTAACCATCCTCATGAAGTCTGCACGAAGCTCTTAGCAATTCAGCCTTTTAAAGCCTAGGGACCTGAAAATCTGCCATGTCGTATCCCGAAAGAATTCTCCTATGAATTAGCAGAACCTCTCAGCACAATTTTTAATACATCCCTTGCTTCTGGAATTCTTCCTGCTATTTGGAAAGAATCGAAACTCAGTGATAGAGGAGAGAGAGTCGAGAGACTTACAAAGATTTGGCTTTATCAACTTAGCCGTAATAAGGTGGATTGGCCACCGTCAGGGGACTGAGAAGTAGACGTTTCGCGCATCAGCCCTTCGTTGTCAGACCAAATCAGAAGATTGTGGTTGGTTCATTTTGTATGGTGTTAGATGTTTCTAAAAGGTTTTCACTGTACGTATCGAAAGGAGAGTCCATGTCTAGCACCGCTATTAAAAAAGTAATAACAAATTTACCGAACTTAATTAGAATCGTTTCAAATTTCGTCATATCAGGCTTAAGCCGGCAAATAATTTAGGCTTTGGCCAAACCTCGAGCTTTTCCTGAGACGAGTCAAACTTAGTGAGTTACGTTTATGAAAAGGTTGACGTCTGGTTCAGTTAAGTTCGTCTGAGTGAGTTTTGATCAAGCAGACGGATGGAACGTCTGAAGCTCGACTCTGGGACAAACGTCGATCTTCACCGGCAACGAACTCAACTAATAGATTAAAAATTTACATGATAATTATGTTTTGCCTTTTTCAGGAGAAAATTTATCACTGGCCTGCTAAAAACGAAATATTGGGCAAATATAATTCACCACTTTATTTTTGCTTTCTTTCTTTATTTTTTCTATTACTCCTCCTGTCGTAAGGATCAGTTTACTGTACGTTTTAAGTTTAAAATTTGGTATTCAAGATTTTACTGATCCAGGTCTACTAAAGATACGGCTGACCCTCACTGGTTTGTCGTTGTGGTTTTGCCTTCACAAGTGTTTCTGAAGAAAGAAACAAGCCTAGCTAATTCAGTTTAAGTGAAAGAAGATCATCGCAGTTATAGACGCAACTTTTGCAGTTGCGAAAAGAAAGCCTGGAAAAATTCAGGCTTGTACTGGATTAGAACCCTTGACCTATGCCATACCGGTGCAGCGCTCTACCAATTGAGCTAACAAGCCAACTGGGAACAGGTCGTTGAATTGGTTCGTTATAAACCCGTGAAAAGATGATGATCAAGTTATGAATAATGAAAATCATGTATGAGAACTGCGGGGTGAAGAATTATATGAAAGAAGATCATCGCAGTTATAGATGCAACTTTTGCAGTTGTGAAAAGAAAGCCTGAATAACCTCAGGATTGTACGGGATTCGAACCTTTGACCTCTTCAATTTGTTCCGACACTCGTGTTCATGGCAGCGTTGGCTAAGAAACCCGCGTGGCTCTGGTGACGAGTATTACGCGGGCATGCCCTTTAAGTCTTACCGTTGCAGTGTCGATTTACCGCACTCGTCTCAACGGGATCTCATTGCATCAAGTCAGTGAAACCCTGGTTACACCAGCATCAACAAAAGGTGGGTATAACGTATTGTGGTATACTACAGAGAAGAGCTCCTCAAGAGAAGTATTTCGACAAAGCATTTCAAATTCATGTTTTGCGCAGATCTTCCATTTAAACAAATCATTTCGTGAAGATATACTAATTAGGCAGGAACAGGAATTATTCATTGAGTTTGCATGAATTGCTGAGTGAGTACAGTTGACTGTTTTCCACTTTAAAACGTTCAGATCAATCGGCAGTATTAACTGCAACGCACCAAAGTTTTCTCTTTCTCGTTTTTTGTCTTTACCCAGAAGTTGAATTTAATAGTTTAGAAATTGCTGTAATAAAATCATGAAACGGTCAAAGTTGAAGTTCAATTACCAAATCTACAATTGAAGGATTGTTGATGTGAAAAGAAATGCTTGCAAAGAGAAGGTTTTGAAACCAAAAAGTAACCTTGCGTTTTCTGCTGACCAAGTTCATTTAAATTTGATAACACAATCGAACACAACCCTCGTTGTTTTTGAAAATATACTGAACTTCCGCTTAATGTTAACATCCAAGGGAGAGGTGTCCTCATTAAAAAGGTGTTGCAGTACAGTAGAGGAGCAGTTGAAAGAAGTTTGACCAAGACCACTGTCTTTAACTGAGAAGCTTCCGTTTTTTGGAAGCGTCGTTAAATTGAAGAGAGATTCGGCAGTATACACAAGCGATATTATTTCCCTTTACGAAACAAGCAGGGCCCTATATATTGCACGAGCTCCTCAATTCAAAGCAAACGGTTCGGCGAAATTTTAACAATAAAATGACGCATCACTTTTTTACTAAACTATAGTTTCTTTATCTTATCTACTGGCCTGAGTGTTCATTTTCCATGGATTAACTTTTAAACGACTCACTAGCCTAGGCTTATATTTTTGCATACGATTGTTTTTCTAGTTTCGGAATTGTTTTCATTTAATTAAACTCCATCCCTTAGGATCTAAAATTCAGCTTCTTAGATAAATTTTATTTACTACGTTTTTGATCACCTTTTTATGGTCCTCTTAATGTTTTGTATTATCAGTTTATACGCCGTTTCTCCTCTTTTAGCAAAACTTCTAAACAGATAAATTGTCCTAATGGTGGAACAGGTGTCTTTTAACACGAGCGGCAACGACACGATATTGCTACACTTAACAAATTTTTCACTAAGCAAGCTTTACGTTTCTATAATGGACGTTCGCCAATTTGTTTGAGTCAAAATAGTCGTCTGTTCGGTGAAAAATATATGTAGTTGGAACAGCCTCACAAGTGGATCGGGTTTGTGTACAGGTCATGAATCATTTAAGACCTTAAGTTAACTTTTCTCGGTTCTACGATCATATTTACTTTTTACACATAACTTATTGAATGTATCCGTCCCATTATACCCACAAACTTTTACTTTCAATGACAGATTCAAAGACTGCGGCAGGACTCGCACTTGCCGATAAAAACAGAGTTAAATAAACAACGAATATTAAAGTGCCTTCAACTATTTTTTACCGTTTACGGCCGAATAAACTGTTCACTGAGTAAGCGAATTGCTGGTTTGCACATGATGTCACGGCGGCCATGTTTGATGACAAGAACAAATAGCATTTCGCTACTCTGGAAACTTAACTCTATTTCCGTGTAAATTCTTCAAGAAAAAAATTCTGTTGTATTGTCATCCAACATGGACGCCTTATCACGTGGTTGCAAAGCAAGAATAATAGTAATATAATAATAATAGTAATAATAATAATGGTGGCGGGCTCGGTCATCCAGACCCTGAGATAAGGAGGTGGCCCGGTCTCAAAAAACTTTTTTCCACGTGGCCCTTCGCCCTTTAGCCTCAGTTTGGTCTAAAAATAATTAGTAGGTGTTGCCCACCTCTAGATCCGCCACTGATATTGTATACTGTATATTGTCTGAACATCTCCCCTTTCTTTCCTTTCTCTAGGGGGGATCCCCCTCTGCCACTGATTATGGTTTTACCTAGGCCAGCCGTCATTTTAAGTGATTCCGAAACAGGAGGCCAGAGAAACTGTCAAATAATGCGTTGTGAACATAGACGGAAAAGTAACAATCTGATAAATACTAAAACTAGTCACTTATTGCTTCCATGTTTCGCAGTTTTTAATCCAGTTATCATGTTTTAACTCCATAGTTGGAACTGATTGACACTGCACAAAATGAATTCTACAAAGAAGCAACTGGCAGAAATGTTAGCGGAGTTACAGTCCAGAAGCAAAGCTCAAGTCATCCTGGAATCGGGTTTTTTGACTTTGATTTTGTCGTTTTCGTTAGTCGCGAACTCCATCACTCTCCTAGTCATGCTGCTAAACCGTCGGCGAGAAACAATTCAGACAATTCCTAATATGTTAGTGGCATCACTCGCTGTTACCGACTTATGTTTGGGAGTTCTCGTGTCAGCTCTGTCAGGACCTGTTGCCCTGGTGACCTCCAGGTGGCCTTTTAATGATTGGATCTGCCAATTTTACGGATACATTTCCATCACGTTGGCGGCTGCATCGATTCACACGTTGGTCTTGATGGCGGTTAACAGATTTTTTAGAATTGTCAAACCATCGAAATATCGCCGTTTCTTCACCAAGAAGAAAACCATCATCATGATTCTTATGTCGTGGCTGCATTCAATGTGTGCTCCTTTGCCATATTTCCTCAGTGGTAAAAAGATGGTTTTTCATCCATCCAAGTTCTTCTGTTATCTTAGAATCGATAGTGGTGCATTTGGCGCTGCCTTTGTGGTTGCAGTTTATGTAGGGATTCCATCTTGTATTATCTTTTATTGTTACCTTAGAATCTTCAAGACAATTCGTAGTCACAATAACAACTTACATTTCCCTGGAAACGGAATTAATAGCGTGAACGTGGAAGAAATTAAAGTGGCACGCACACTATTTGTGATAGTGGTGTGTTTTAACCTTTGCTGGGCTCCAGTTTTGTTAATTGACATCGTGGACACGATTCTTGGGAGATGGACTTTCCCTCGCGAGGCGTACGTAGCATACACGTTTTTGGCCAATATCAGCAGTGCGTTGAATCCCTTGATATACGGTGTGCTTAACAAGAACTTCCGTAACGATTATATCAAGGTGTTAAGCTGCAGATGCTGCCGTGCTCAAGCTGCTGTAGAATCAAACGCGGGGCTGCCAGGAAGTGCAAATGTTTTGGAGATAAAGCCATTGTGAGTGCCTAATGTAGAAAGAAAACCTGGTTTACTAACTAAAAACAAACGCCGCTGAATCAAAGTCCAAGCCAGACTGATTACTTTGCCGCCTACATTCGTGTTTCAAGTTTAGGTCAGGTGCCTCTGAGGACGAGAGTTACTGTATTTGCACCTTGGCTTCTTTCACTTTTTCATTGCAACATTCAAGCCTTATCGGAAGAAAAGTGTCCTTAATATCCTTAAAAAGCAATTTTCGAGATTCCCCGGGCCTCTGTATCGAAACGAGGGTAAGTGCGAAGCCTTTGATATGGAAATGATTTTAGCTTGATTTTTCATTCTTATGCAAATAAAACTCATTTCCACAAGAAAGGTTGTACACTTTTCCTCATTTTGCGTTTTTGGAACTGGGAGGTGGCCTATTATCACACATCAAGTTTGATACAGAAGTAGTGTCAGACTTGAAAAAGCTAGTTTTGTAGATAGAGCTGAGGTAGTTATCCACGAAGCCCATCGATGTAAGGTAAACTTCTGAAGATTTAGAAAGGCCCTGTCCACACGAATCCGGGAAAATATCCGGTTTCAATCGTCTCCACGAATTAGCAACTCCGTCAGATCCAAGGACATCTACTTTGGAGAGCGGTTTCAAAAGGATGGGTTTTCCATGAGCGGATTCAGTGGTTTTGTGTGGACGGAAGGCCCCAAAATATCCCGATTCGTGCAAAGGGGGGCAGACACTGTCTGGGGTGAGCTCTCTAGCACGAACTTGTCGAAATACCATTATTTACTTTTTAGAAGGCATTTCTGATTTTATTTTTATTTTCAGCTGGATCTTCGCCACCATAATATAAAAACATTGGTAATCAAACAAAGTAACAAAAAAAAAGTGGCAGGGATTCCGCAACAGCGTGAGCCAGTTACTGGGGGTCCAGAAAATTTAAAAATATAAGAATAGTTAAAAGACATAATCACAAAATTAAAATCAACACGAGACAGGCTGGGCAAGACTACGACACTTATTACATTTAAGACAGACAGACTTAAAAGTGCGGGGATTTTCACGGTCGTAATTACTTAAGGCGGTTTTGTAATACTCTACAATTGTCTGTTTAAAAACATTGAGGGCGTTATGGCAGGATCAGTTCATCAGCAAAAACGTTCCAGACGCGTACGCATCTGATGATATAAGACTTTTGATAAGTTGCTGCCTGAAATTTAGGCTCTACAAATGTAATACCACCACTAGATGAAGATCTGGTAGGCCTCGTGATGCGAGCGTTAGGAACAATTGATGGATCTACCGATACGAGACCATGAATGATTTTGAAATAAAAAACACCATATCTAGATACTAGTGCCAGAATGTTAATGGCAGCAGATCCAAAGATTTGAGTCTGTCCATGTAAGAAATTGTGCAGGAAAAAGGCAATTTGAGAACATATTTAGTGGCACGCCTTTGTGTCCTTTCAATTCTTGCAATTAGTTTGATAGACTGAGGAGCCCAAAGGCCATCCAAGTTCTTCTGCTGTTTTACGATTGACAGTGGTGCATTCGCCTCCCTTTTAGTTGCATTTTATGTGGGGATTCCATCTTGCATCATTTTTTACTGTTACTTTAGAATCTTCAAGACAATTCGTACTCACAATAACAACTTGTATCACCCTGGTAACGGAATTAACACTGTGAACATAAAAGAAATTAAGGTGGCGTGCACACTATTTGTGATAGTGGTGTTTTTTAGTCTTTGCTCGGCTCATAACTTACACAAACAACTGAAGTTGTACATTTTTCAAGCTCCTTCTGATTCTCTTTATATACTTTGCAACTCATTCAATTTTCTTTTTTCTGTTGCTTGTACTTCAGTCCTTTGAGGGGTTTTCTCAACGCATACCCCTCTCTGATGTACTCACTCTTATTAGCAACTGGATAAGCCTCTTGTCCCCACACTAAACCATTATAATCATTTCAAGTAAAATTCAGAACTACAGGGTAATTTTTGTACAAACAATTTCAAAGAAATACTTGAAACCGAAGTCACTATCTAATACAAAACTACTAAATACAGTACCGTTGTTGGAAATTTATTGATTATCACTCCAATAATATTCCAGTAACGGTTTTGAAGGTTCAGTAAAACCCTCCCAGCCTTCTGATATTAAAAATAGCTTATACTGACAGACCCAGTATATGTGAAGCAAAGTGACTGGAAAATTTACCCTGGCTTTTACTAAATTGGCCCTGTATTCTGTATTTTCGGCCATAAATATTTGTTGTGGCTCTCGGTTTTCAAACAAACTTACGAACAGCGAAGTAGAAAATTGGTTTAATGAACATTCCCATATGACTGTTGCAAGACTCATACTAAAATAGTAAGCTCGTAGCATATGTTTAGGATAAGGAAGAGAGTTCTTAATACCACTGTAAGTGGAAACATATAAGAGATGGAACAGGCTGGTTGAAAATTCACGAAGCTTATAAATATTAACTGAACTTGCCGAGATGCCGAACCGACGCTAAGTGTAGTCACCCATGAATTGTTCACACATCACGGCTCCTGATGTCCAAAAATTCCATTAAAAATGTTCTTGAAAACCTTTTCTTGATGTTTGGACGCGGGAAAACTCAAAACGGAGCAAAAACTCATCGTCCCTCCATGTCTGCATTCTCCGCCATATTTGTTTTGAAGGAAAATGGTACTCAGTCTCACTCGGCCAAATTTCTAAACTGGGGCCTCGCTGCCAGCCCCCCCTGGTTAATTCAATAATCCATTCATAATATATGGATTTAGCCAGGGCTAAAAGCGAGGCTCCCATTAGTAAATTTATAATTTAAATTAAACAATAAACTTGTATTCGAATTCCACAATTCAGTTAACTTTAGAGCACATTTATGTGACTTTTGAGGGAAAGGCTACCTGATTTTAGAGAAAAATAATTTGCAAACAGCCCAAGAGTGAACCAAATCTTACATCGAGTTGATAGCCTCATATGTACACTCAAAAACTGGTAATCATCTTTTATCACATTTAAGAGCCGTAATGGCTATTGATCACCGTAGATCAATTAGGCTTAGAAAAAAAACCAGGCCAACGTTTTGGCGTTCGACAAGTTTACTTTGCAAAATCTTGCCAACAAATCTGGGTGCGTGTAAGCCAACCTTTTATACCATGGACAGAAAGCAGTATTTCACAATACAAATTGCTCTCATTCAATATTCATAAACTGTTAAAAAAATTTTCCAAAATCACCTATACGGCCATCCGGTTCTCATTTTTGTAGTGCGAGCTGTAGCGAGTGTTTGAATGAACATTAACAGAGTTACGCTCCAAGATAATAAAGAATTTATCATGTTTATTTTTTATTTGATGGTTTAACGCGCGGCATTTTGAGAACTCCTGCAAGCGATGTTCACTGAACGACTGAAAACAATCGGCATAGCGATTAAAATTGCAAGAGAGACTACTAACAATCAATAAAAGAAATATAATTCGGTGAAACATAAACAGAGACAACAATTTTCATTCAGGAAGACAAGTATTAAAGTGTCCCTAAATATCCTGAATCTTCAAGCTTCAAGCTTAAGTTTGCTGAAGTTTATGTTTTAAGCCAGCTTCCCGGTGTTTGTTTTTTCAAAGACGAACTCGAGGCAAGAAAATCGCTCAAAGCTTTCTTTTCCGGCTAGAATTATAACTAAAGATTCTTTGGAACATTTTCTTTCTATTTGCGGTGAGAAACTGTCTAAAGGCTTTTTAAAGTTCTGTAAGATTATATCAAACCAGATACTCGGTGAGATCGTTGTGTCAAATCTTACAAACGCGCATAAACTAAATTCCCGCATAAACTACGCTCCACTTCATTAAATTAGATACAAAAAACAAACATGAAATACAATAATTTCTCTGGCTTACCATTCGAGATGCAGCTCCTGAAAGTTATCAGGTAAAGCCAGTATCGCTTCAGACTTTGCAATCCTCTTACGCATCAAGCAAGGTGAAAACGAAAACGATGCCATCCGAAATCGGATTTCCGACTTTGACAAGCGACGTTTTCTCAACCAAAACCCAATAAACAAACTAGCCATGAGTAACAGAAGACTCCTGATAGCAGCTGAATTTCATTTTGTACATCCAGTGGAAAAAGACAGTTAAAAACATCACAAGTTGACACAAAACTCTGTCAGCTTCAGCTGTTAAAGTAAACAAGATTCAAGATGCTGCATAAATTTTGCGCATGAACTCACCTGTCAAATTTTGACCAATCAGAGCATAAAAATTGGACGTAGAGCGTGACCAACGCGTGACCATTGTGAGAAAAAAAACAAAAGCAACTGTCTTCCCTGCCTGTAACAGCTGGCTGAATTTTCACGTCCGAGGTCAGTTTGCAATCAAAATTTTAATTGTGCAGCACATAAACACAACATATTTCATATGAATTAAGAAAAAAAAAATTGAACTTGAGCCTGCGATCACTTGAAAACTAGTTTACTTGTCAGCGGATAACTTCAAAAAAATACTTGACCTCGACGGGTCGACACCTGAGCCCGCGATACGGTTAAGTGATACTGGTCAGCGGGTACTCTGTTTTGACAGCTGTCAATTGATCAAAACATTGATGTCCAATATGTGTGCATTATCAGTTTTCCTGTGCTCCCAAACTAGTAAAAGTATGAGATTGAACGTTGTTCGCGATCTAGTAAAACAGTTAACTGGTCAGCGGACAGCTTCCAAATAAATCACGTCACCTCGATGAGTTGACACATGAGCCCGCGATATGGTCATGGGATACTGGTCAGTGGCTATCCTGTTTGGACAGCTGTCAATTGACCATATTGTTAATGTCCTATATTAAAGATGTGGACTTGCCAAGACACGCCTGAGACACCCCTCCCCTCCTTTTGATAGTCTCCCCTACCCCACCCATACAATCTGTAGACGCGTACGTACGTACGTACGTACGTACGTACGTACGCTCG